CTGAAAAGAAGAAAGTATAGACTCAACTGAACACTTAACAGTAGACAAATAATCAAAGTTAACACTCTCAAGTGAGGCAGAATCTAGAACAATGTCAACAATCTCAAATGGAGAAGAATCTGAAACAAAATCAACAATCTCATATGAAGAAGAATCCATAACAATGCCATCATGATTTGATATAGTAGACACAGAATAATCGCCAATAGATTCTAAAATAGATAACTCAATATGTTCAACATCTTGCATAGAAGCCAATTGAATGAATTTTTCTTCAAGTTCAATGGTTAGTGATAATTCAACTTTTGGCTTCGATGAGGTAGAAAACATAATAGGATCAAACATAATCTCATCAGTAGTATCAATGTTCAAATGATTGAAAGTATGTTTTGAAGGATTGAAAGCATGAAGGTCCAACGGAACAAAAATATGACTATCATTATGTCGGTGTCCGACATTAGGTGAAACGGGAGACTTGTCCTTATTTTCTTTCATTTGTTGACTTGCAAGAATTTTAGCCAAATGTGAAAGTTGAGTTGTTAATTCAGATAATTGGTCTTTTATTCCTCTACACTCTTCACATAATTGGCCGAGTGAATGTTTAGTATTGACAACTCCAATTTCAAAGATTTCAACTTTTTTCTCTAGGGAAATTTGAGCTTTTGAATTGTCACTATGACATTGAAGATAAATCCAAATTGACCTTGATGATGACTTTGGGAAGCATGATATTGGTAACTATTATGTGACTTAAGTGTCTCAGAGTAGTATTCTAGATAATCTTCATAATAAAACTGAAACTTACTATGGATTTTATGATGACTCCGAAAAACTCTAGAAGTAGAATAGGTATAGGACGTTGTGGAGACCTGTGAATTTAATACATTCTTGATGTTGGATAAATATATGAATATGCATCATAATGATCATATGAACTCATGATTGACTTTAAAAGATGAGAACATAAGAATGAGTTCAATAATGCAATTGATAATTACAAGAAGTGAGCAAACTTAAATATAAGAAAATATGTTTTGGACGCTTTGTAAATTCTCTAATTTTTCAATGAATAAAAATATTAGTCTCAAATTTCTATGGAAGTATGCACATCATAATCAAGAAGAAATTTTGAAACTTATTGGGGATGATTTTATAATTTTTTAAACTTTTGGGGTGATATTTCTATAATTATTTAAAACTTTTGGGGGTAATTCTATAATTCTAAAACTTTTGGATAGTATTTTTGCAATTTGTTGAAACTTATTGGGGTAATTTTGCAATTTTTTGGACCTTCTGGGATTGTTTCTGCAATTCTAAAACTTTCTAGAATTTTCTAAGGTGATTCTGCAAGTTTCTAATTTTATTGGGGATGTTTCTGTAATTTTAGAATTTCTGGCAATAGGTCTACTTCCCCAAGTTTCGTTGAAGCTGTTGTTCTCAAACAAAACCCTACCTGGTCTAATCGCCTTCTTTACGACAATACTGCTTCAAATTTTTTTTTTTTTAACTGGACAATGAGCGGTTGGTGGTGATGAACAGTGTCACTGATGAATAGTAATTTTTTTTTTGTGATTTATATGAATCAAAATTGGGCTTTGATACTAAATTGATGTAGATTGTATTAACTCTGATACCAAATTGATGTAAATCGTAGTAAGAAAGAATTAGGGATGAGAAGGGAACAATAAGAGGATGAAAAAAGAAAGAAAATTTGAAGAAGAAGTAATATCAGGATTCAATATCAGTAATCAATAATTATCAAAGTCTAATCTAAATAAAACCCTTATATGCATCCCTTTATATAGGAAAACTAAAACCCTAAAATAAATAAATAATGACAAATAAACTCTCAAAAGTTAAAAGAAATTACTTAAAAGATAAATATTAAAAGTCTCTAAATAACTATCATATTTAATCTATAATATCTATCAAATTCCTACATAATCCACATCATTAAATTAATGTAGATTGTATTAGCTATAATACTAAATTGATGTAGAATGTAGTAGAGAAGAATTAGGGATGAAAAAAGAAGAAGGGAGTGAGAAAAGAGAGAAAATTTAGGGAAAGCAATATCAAGATTCAATATCAGTAATCAATAATAATCAAAGTCTAATATAAATAAAACTCTAACATGCATCCCTTTATATAGGAAAACTAAAACCCTAAAGCAAATAAATAATAATAAATTAACCCTCAAAAGTTAAAAAAAATTATTTAAAAGATAAATATTAAAAGTATCTAAATAATTATCATAATTAATCTATAATATCTATCTAATTCCTACACAATCCCCATCACATTGTTTTCAGACAAAAACACATTATTTTGAATTCCTAATCAAGTGAAAGACACGTATTTCAAAGAAATGAAATGTCACATACCCAAATACATGATTTGCCAAGTATGGCAATGTATGAGTTCTTCAGGGCTGCACTTTCAAATTAGATGGAGCTGTCTTGGAATCAGATCAGATGAACAGAAGACCATCACGGTCATCGTATGCATTGTATATTCATCTTCATCAGTGCTTATGTTTTTCTTGGCTTTTAGTCTTTCCTAGAAACTTCTATAGCCTATCTTCCATAGATCAACCTTCATATTCTTGCTACACCAAACCATCATTACTTTTGCTCCTACGACAGTCATGACTGGACATCTTAAAGTAATTATATTTCTACGTCCAAATGATCTGCTGATTAGTGTAACTCTTCCTCTTTGCCGCTTTAAGTAGCATATCATTCACAGATGTACATTTAGTGCTTAATGCTTATCTATAACTCAATTCTCCTCTGCTTGAGTCCCCTGCAACACTTCTATTAAAACACCAACTTGAATTTTCAAATCCATACTAATTTGTATTTAAAGATGCTAAAGCTAAACTATATCACAAATTGCTCTTGAACCATGCATATCGTGTTCATTTTGTCAGGATCTTGCAGTTCAAGCCAACTGGTTCAGGATCTTGCAGTTCAAGCCAACTGGTTCAGGATCTTGCAGTTACAAATGAATGTTATAATGAGAGGCATCAATGTGATTCAAAATCTAAATACATAATGTGGAGGCATCTCATTTTGAGGGAGATTTTCAGTGTAGCAAAAATTGCGACCTTCACTATGCATGCATAGGATGCTTGGGGCCGCATACCAATCTGAAGAAATCAAGAAGCTGAAGTAAGACATGATTTTGCAAGTATTGAAATGGTTTTAATCTACCGTGCAAAGTCCCATAGAATGCATGCATAGGATGCTTGGGGCAGCATACCAATCTGAAGAATCAAGAAGCTGAAGTAAGACATGATTTTGCAAGTATTGAAATGGTTTTAATCTACCATGCAAAGTCCCATAGAAACAAATAACGTCTGATTTTCAATCCTAGGACTCTGAATCAAATAACTACATCTCTAAAAATATGGGATTTGTGGAGTTCTCATCTCAAGATAAACGGTACCTCAAAAGTCTATTCTCCAACAAGTGAATCTGATTGATAATTTTGAAGGTTGATTCTTTTTCTAATAACCTGAAAAGAAAAAGTGCAATAACCTAATTACCCACTGATATGTCCAGCTCCAAACGAGCAACTATAATAATTAATGTCTAGCATGCTACACCAGACCCAAAATTTCCTTCTACTCAATACATTCTCAATCCAGTTTTCCATCTTAAACACAAAACTACAAAACCATGGCACTTTGAAGGAGGAGAAATACAGTGTGTGCATCCAACCATGGCTGCAATCTATTTTGCAGCCCTCGACATTTGATCATTTTAATCCCACTCCGCGGAGCAACTTCATGTCTCCCTCTGCCTACATCAAAATATCAGCAGCTAGTACGAGAATTATTATTAATCTGCTTGATATGAGATTCAGTTTTAAACAATCCATTCAAGAATGTTAGTTCTCACCTGTTGACCTTCAGCTCCCTTTTCTTTTTCTTAGTCATCAGTCCCATTTATGCAACCCCCAGGTCTGGAACACACATATATGTTGCTCTATGGTTTTCAATATTCAGGATGTTGCAAGCCTTACCTCCAACCAACAAAAATCTAGGTTCGGGAGGTTGGAAAGATAAACTATGTCATACTTTCTGAGAGGAAAAAAAAACACAAACCATGCAACTCATTTAGCTAAGAGTGAATCTAGGCAACAACTAAAATTCAAACATAAACAAAAACAAGGAAAAACTGCAGAAAATAATATAATTACTGGCGAAATCTGTTCCCCTAGAGATTATTATAAGGTACCAAGGACAAACAGGGTATATCTCATGAACCTATGTTGCATCAATGTGGGTTACAATCAGCACCTGCCACAAGTATATATAAGCCAGATGAATTGAACTAAAGATTAGGATTTTACTCATGGGAATTTAAAGAATATGTTAGATTTGCAGCGTATATACCTGGGAGGAGGCATAAATAATGTAAGAACATCATTCGATTACATATACGACAACGTGTATGTTAGGATGCAGGGAAAGTGAAAACTAACCCGAACTCGTACCAAATTCAAGACTATATACTTGTCCATAACTGGTTCCTTTACTCATTGAGGAGAAGTGTCCTTGCAGCAAAGCCCACACAACACCTGCTATATGCATAATGTATTCATGGCAATATCATAATGTCTCTGTCAGAACAACAGTTTCACTGAGCTTTCTGTTAGTCAAATCAACTTAAAATTGTTGAATGAAATCTGACTCAACTAATCAGTTAATTAACAAATAAAAAAGAAATTAAAATAGGTTTCAAACACTAATTCAATGCATAAATTTGAAGAAGCCCGTGCATACATCTAGGCTTACCACACCCACATTCAATATGAAAACAGTTATCATATTGCAACAAGTAAAAGAGATACAGGATTGTCATATTATTCTGCAAAAGACCAACCAAAGATAGCATTGCCTAACCATGTAGTGAACTAATATTAGTATTGAATGGGAAATCCAATCAACTAAAATAACCAAAAAATATACAAGAAAAAGCCAAAAGCACAGTCGCTAATCTCCTCAAATTGTTTAGAGCTACTCGGGTAAAAATTACAAGGAAAAACAACTGAACACAACTATAATCAAGTATAATAAAATTGCATGGCTAATAAAAATCTTAGCTCAGTAAAAGTACTTGTTAGAAATCAATGAACAGCCCTAGACTCTTCTATTCATTCTTCCAAGCAAACAAAGTAAGTGAGAAACCAAGACACTGTGTTTGGGAATCTTGAAATCTCTGAGACCAGGACCAATGCAGTGTATGGGGATCGCAGAGGGGTTGGCTGGCCCATAACTTCTCAGCTGAAAGGCTGGTCTGGAACATGAAAACTGCATTTCCGGGTGATGTACCAAAGAGCCAATTGTGAACATCCCAAAATACTTCCACTGCAAGGCCATCAACCAAGAGGGTGTGGTTTCCACGAAACTTCCACCGGAGCCGCTTCACCTGCATCATAGTCTTGCTATCTATGCGAATCACCAGGCACGGGTCATTGGAGCCACTTGTATCACACTCAACCACAAGGTCATGCACTTTTCCATTATCACAAAACTGAGCCTTGGTGCTGAATATCTTCTTACCAAAAATGTGTTCTTTCTTGGCAATGAAAACAGAATTAAACGAAGCAGGAGTGGCACTTGTTTTCTTAAAAGCCTCTTTCCTCATGTCCCCAAGAAGTAAAATCATTTGCCGATCATAGACAGCCCCCAAGTAGAATCCCTCCAATGGCTCAGGCCCGGATCCGAATTTTGCTGAAGAAAGATCCCAATAAACGTCAACTTTGTGGGAATCTGCTTCTAAACTCTTTGACCCTTTCTTCTTAGAGAACAACCACGGCTTTATGTCAACCTTACAGAGGCATTGATTGGTGCTATCATCAATACCAACACTAAGAACTTGACCCATCAAATTCTTACTCCATGTAACAGAAATCAAACATGATTTGCCTCGTAATCGACATTGATATACACAATTGACCAAATTCTGAGCAACTTTATTTGTGGTACTTGATGATGAGAAATCAGCAACCTGAACCCCATTTTCCCCAAAACAAGAAGGAAAATCCCTCATTCCGACACAAAAAGACCTTAAAACTCCCCTTTTTATCTATTACTTCTCTGTTTTTCTGGTTTAAGCACAAACAGTTGGTGATCCTCTAGAAACAATGGCAAAAGGACTCAGTAAATGATCATAAAAAAACGCATAGGCCCATCGAGGTAATAGCCACATACATACCTCAATTGTCAATGAAAATAACAGAGACCCATCTCAGAAATGCTTCAATAACTGGTTTCTAAGGCTTGATTTGATCTGGGTATAGAGTTTTTCAGATGCATTTTTTCTGAAAAAAATCCATGAATCTAAGTTTAGTGAAGAAACGATGAGGGTCCTTCTAATTAGAGACAAATTTGGGGAATGTAGGCAGTAAAGGATAAATAATTCCGGAGAGAGGAGGAGACAAAAAGGAACCACTCCAGACTCATTTCATTATCAATACCTCTGTACCAGAGACCAACTGTACATACACAACATATACATACATAAACTATTTTATATTAAAAAAAAAACACAACAATACATAAAAGATGTGGGGGGATGTTTGAGTGTGTGTGTGCGCGTGAGAGACAGAGACAGAGACAGAGACAGAGACAGAGAGGTACCTTAGGAGGGTGACAGCCTGTGCAATAATGAAAAGACTATGCAGGAAAGGAAAAGGCAAGAACGTAGGATGATATAGCAACTGGGTATTGCCGGAAAGGCTGGCTCTTGAACATCAGTCTACTCTGAGGAAAGGAGAAAAGAATCTCCCCTTGGTTTTCTCTCTCTCTCTGCTCTTTCTGACCCTCTTTTACCTGACATATTCACATGTACTGTTACCGAGAATCAGAGCTGTTGGGCAACAGACAACTCTTTTTGACAGATTCTCTCTTGCAAGAATTTTTTTTTTTTTTTGAAATTTGCCAAATTATAACAAAGACTATACGCCGTATTCATTCTACCTTCTATTTTTGAAGTTTAATGAGAAGAAAAATACGTGTGAAAAGCCGATAAAGTTGTTTCTCGAGAGAGTGGACCTAGGTCCCTTTTATAAAATTTGATAAATACATAACTCCTTGTATATATATTTTTATTTGAAAATAAATAATTAACACTAGAACGTTTAAGACCAAATTATAATTATTTTTTAACTTCATTGTTTTCGTGTTGTTATCTTTAAGTTATTTCAAAAATGCATTTTTAAAATATGTTTTCAAATAGATAACATTGAAAGCAAATATAATTTTACATTAAAAAAAAAGTGAGTTTAAATTATATTTTTACATGAACGAAAATAAATTAAAAAAATAAGTTATAAATTACGATACAAAAAAAGTTTACAAAATTGAATAAATATGCAGACAGATAAGAAGTCCCATTAATCATTCCGGGGATAAATATGTATACATAAAATTTGTGACCACTAACAAGCCCTTTACAACTAGGGGACTTCAACTGTACCGGCAGCAGTATCAATACCAAAAATTATAAATTTTAAAAATTAAGTTACAAAATTTTTAAGATGTAAGTTACGACTTCAAATGACATTATCGATTATAAAATGTTCGGATCTATACTGTGTTTTTCATGATTAATTATAGGTATTTGTGATCGATCATGATATACATTGAACAATTGTAACTTTTCATGTCAAAATTATAACTTTACTATATAAAGTAGTAACCAATGATACTGGTACCCAAAAAAAAACTTAGGTACCATAGAGTTTTCCTTACATCTATATTATTTATATAATAAAACAGGAGTGTTTGAATTTTATTCTAGTCATATTTTTTCCTTCAAAATCATCACCAATCACTTATCTCATCCCTCATTCATTTGTCAGACTCAAACGTAATATCGCATCACTTATTTTTGTCATATGTTTAATTATTTATATATTTCTTCCCTAAAAATATCATATCACTCATTTTCATCATATATTTAATCATTTAATATTTGATTAATTTATAGTTAATATTTTTTTTAAAAATTAATATAATGAAATCGATTTTTTGAATATTCGAATTTTACATTTTGTAGTGCCTTCAGGCACGGGTTATAACTAGTCTATCTATAATTTATATATTTATATCTATCTATATATAAAAAACAATCAAATTAGGTGAAGAGATTGCTTGAGAAGTCTTTCCTTTTGCTTTTTTTAGAATTTATAATTTTTTAATTCAAAATTTAAGGCTTTTTCCAATCGATCGTTGATAATAGTGTGCATCGTACGCCCCTGCTACTGGTATATATATAAAACAAACAAATTAAAAGGGAGAAGGCTTAAGATGTCTTTCCTCCACAATTCCTAATATTCTACAATTTTGAATTTTTTAATTATCATACATATTTTATATTTTTTTGGGAGGGGGGGGGGGAGGGGGAGGGGGATAATCCTTCTTCCAATTACATTATACCATGTGTTTTTAGTACCTATCCCTCAACTTCTCATTAACCAACTACCATTCTTATCAAATTTATTTTCATAAAATTATTTGTACTATTCAATAATTTAGTTTAATTTGTGTATTTACCTTCTTAAGTGACAAGGTGAAAGAGAAAAACAAATAAATAACACAATAAATCGCACAGAGCCATAACACTAGTATTATATGTATAAAACAATTATTTTTTTAGGAAGAGGGTTTATAAGATGCCTTTTCTCCTACATCTATAATTTTTAAGAATTTTAAATTATTAAATTCTCAATCTTCCAATCACATTCTATCAAATGTCTTCAATAATTACCCTAACAAATTACCTCTAAAATCCCTCTAACTGTCAATTATTTAATATTTTTTAAATGTGAAATTTTGTAATACAGTAATTATTATGATATTATTACTTACTTTTAAAAGAAACTTATAAAAATAAAATAAAATAGATTGAGAAAGAAGGGGATGATTCATACATTGCACGGGGTCCGACTCTAGGTGTATTTATATATAGTTGTTTGCCATTATTTTGGCTGGCCGAAAATGGAAATAAAAAAAAACACTATTTTTTATTTGTTTATGCCCTTATGGTTACTGTGCATTAAATGAAAACGGTTTTTGAAAGTAGGGTCCATCGTTAACAAGTTAACGCAAACACGATCTCATATTTAATTGGTCAAGAAATGCACACTACACCCTTGGGAATATCAGGCGTGGGTGGAGTGCTGGTGGGGTGCCAAAACTATGAATCAAAAGTCTTCTTTGACCAATCCCTTTCAGAAAACTTATCCCACCAAGCTCGTAACTCTAACTTACCAGGACAGACAAAAACTATCAACTCACTTTTTTACTCCCCATCTCAATAGCTCGATTCAAGCTAAATTTTAACACATTACATCTTAATTGTCACTCAATTCCATTAAATAATCCTTCATTTTTCACCATATATTTAAAGCTATGTAAGAGTAAGATTAGACCACAATCATATCAAATTTTGGCATATCGATAACATAATCGACCAGAAAATATCAATTCATATCTCACTGAATAGATTTAGATCAAATTCGATTTATAGATAGCTAGGTAATATTTGATAAAACTAAAATTTAAGCGTTGAAAAATTGAATGGTAAGATAATTGGATCACAATCGGATCAAATTTTGGCATATCAAAACTATGATACAATGGATTTGAATTCAGACTCGAATAATCGATTAGAAATATCAATCCATATCTCAGAAATCAGATTTAGATAAAATCCAATTTATTGATAGGCCTAGGTATTGTTTGATTTTTTTTTTTTGAACATATCTAGTTAATGTTTGATAAAACTAAAAATTAAGCACTGAAATACTGAATGTGAATTTTTTAAGTCTTGAATATTGAATTTCTCATAAAAAATTATGTTTGGCACGTATTGATTTTAAGCACTACATGGCATGTGTTGATGTATTGAGTAATAATCGATCAACAATTTTAACAAATCTCTATTATATCATGTTTGGATCAAGATTTGAATAATATGTCGACATATTGTTCTATTACAAATTTCATATTTGAACGTGGTTAACCGGCCTCTGATAGGTCTCTTCTACATTTTTCAAATCGAATGACATGACCTTGTACCAATATGTTCCTTCCTTTATTATAAAGTAGATCTTTCTTGGTCTGGCTCATCCATCATTATCTGGTTATAGCTAGAACATGTGTCTATGAAGGTGAGCAGCTCATATCCTACCGTTGCATCAACCAGGATATCAATACTAGGCAGTGGGAAACAATCCTTTAGGCATGCTTTATTCAAGTTAGTTAATCGACACATAGACGCCATTTTCTACTTTTATTCTTTACTAGTACCACATTTGCCAAACATAATGGGTACTCTACTTCTCTAATATATTTTGTATGGGGAAGCTTCATTACCTTCTCCTTTATTGCTTGGTTTTTCTCTGGGGTGAAGCTTCTTCATTTTTGTCATACCAGTTTATAGCCTGGATTGACATTCAGCTTATGTACAACCACTGTTGGGTCTATTCCACCCATGTCCGACTGATTCCAAGCAAAAACATCTATGTTGGAGTATAGAAATTCTATATGCATTAATTTCATATCTTTCCCGAGCATTCTCCCAATGTAGGTAACTTGTTTAGGATGCTCCCCAATTTGGATAGGTTCAAGGTCCTCCACTGGTTAGAGCGTTCCTTCTCCACCCTGTGGTCCAAGGACTTTATCTGGAGAATATCTTGTTGCTTTTTCTCTCGCATGGATGCCACATAACATTCTATGGCCACTACTTGGTCCCCTTGCACTTTTCTAATCCCTACTTTTGTAGGTAAGCATAGTAGGAGATGGTATATATGTAGGCAACACTGCTTTCATAGAATTGAGGCTAGGGCGGTCTAAAATGACGTTTGTAGATGAGCAATCTAGCACGAGAAAATTAGTCATTACAATGGTTTGGTACAGGGTGTATCCAAGAGTAATTGGTATAAATATGGCTCCCAATGGATAATCTTTCTTTCCAGAAAATCAAATTAGTGGAGTAGTGACAGGTATCAATTTTTCCCTCTCGATGTTTAACTTATCAACAACTGGGGCGAATGCAATCTCTACCGAGCTCTCCCAATCGATTAGGACCTCCTAATTGAGTAATTGGCTATGGTTAGTGTAATTACTAAGGGTTCATCTTGGGGTTGCTAAACTCTTACGAGGTCCTCATCTGAGAAAGTAATTGGGGGATCCGTGCAAGGATTTTTCCCTAAATTTACCAAGCTAACCTCTAGGTCGGCCTTCACCTTGCGAACATGGGCTCGTTTAGCGAAGTTGCTCTCTCCACCTCCAGCGAACCCTCCTAATATTACAATGATCTCTGTGACTGGTTGTTGGTGTGGTGTCTGCTCTCGATTAGGTTGCATCTCCCCCCTCTCTTATTGTCTACACTCATATACCCCGAGATGTCCCTTCTACATAAGGTCTTCAATTTGGTCCTTGAGCACTTGGTAGTCCTTAGTGTTGTGGTTATGATCTCAATGGAACCTACAATATTTATCCCTTGACCTTTTGTTGGGATAGGTTCTTATCTTGCGGAACCACTTGAGAATTCTCTCATCTTGGATTTTATAGAGGATATACTCTACAAATGTATTTAACGATTTATACCTCCATGCTGGTCATTTATGGTGAAGGAGCCTAAGTGGCCCCTTACAACTCTCACGCTCGGAGCCACTCTTCTTTGGACTGATCCCCCACTCTCCTAGGTTTGTTTAGTCTTATATCTTTTTTTTTTCTCGCTTATCCTCCCTCTTGTTCTCCTGGTTTCTTCGAGTTAGAAAGGTATCCTCACCATTGATATA